CCCCTGGTATTATGAGCTATTGAGAAATACTAGTAGGGAATTGGATATTTCACTGGGCAAGGATTTTTCCCCTCAAAATTTAGGGTTATTTTAAAAGGCAAAATATCATTTATAAGCTATTAAGCTTTGCCCCTTAAAAGTTAACCTTCTTCCTTATCTGTCATAATAATTTAATTTGGTGATGAAAAAGATTAGACTGTGGAAACTAGTCTATAGTTTGGTAACTGCTTTCCCTCAATTAGCAAGATTAATATGCTAGTTGCATAAAAGATACTGTTTGTTTTCAATTCTGTTCAATTTCTGTTGAGTAAATTTCAAAATATGCTGCAGGATAATAACAAGTCTCAGGGAAAATTGGACCCTATAGTTAAGTACATTTGGGCACTGTTGGGTTGACTGTAATAAGATAGCTTCCTAAAGTGTAGGCTTTCTCAGGAGAGGATGGCATGCCGGGCTGGCCTCAGGCATTTGACCCTAGACCCCCTGTGCATCTTGGTAAGCATGGCTATACAGACTGTGAAGGCGTTCCGAATGGGAGAGGGGATTGTGGAAATGTCTTAGAGACACACTTTGGCTTTTGTCGTTCTAGTGCCTTGGGTCGGCAGTGAGTGAGCTCAACCTCACCGAAATGTGGAGATAGAAGAAGCAAGAAAAGTCATTTTTTATTCGACATCTATGTTCATCATACTTAGGGGCTGTGATACCAGTCATGGCAAATGAGGGTATCTTTAGGCAGCTTTTCATTTAATTAGCTACTCATACAAATGTTCATGATTGAATATGCACTGAAATCTTAAACTTTTAAAACCCTCCCATGAACAGTGCTGTTCCAGAGGATTGGTCACCAGTCAGACTCTGGCACTGGGTAGTTGTCACTCTCCTTTGGAGCTCCCCCTGTCTTTGCAAGGTCTCCGACTTGGGCATCACAGCCCCAGCCTGGTGGAAAGCTGTGCTTTCAGCCCAGCCAGGAACTGTGCAGGAGGAACTAACTTCGTCCCATTCCCCCAAACCCAAGAGGAAGCATGTCCAGGTGGGGATCTCACTTTGGAACTGAAATATTTTCAAAGATTGTTTGCCGATCCCTGGCCTTTGCAAATGATTAGCGTATGTTTAAACACCCTTTGAAAGAAGTAGGCCTCTATGACATTTTCAAAATCAGCAATAATGATAAAGCCTCACACTGTGTCTCCAGAAGCCCAAAGAAGTAGATTGAAAGTGGAGTGAAAGTTCTATGTTGCTAGATAGTAACCACACAAGGGGGTGAGCATTTAATCAGGTGGGGTAACTGTTGCACCACTGTGCTGTACATTTGAAACCAACATAAGATTGTATATCAACAATACTTGAATTTAAAAAAAAAAAAGAAAGCAGAGTGAGGAACACCATCAGACAGGAAGCCTGCTGGGGACAGTGAGCACCCAGTGTGGCAACCCCCGGATGCTGCAGCATCCCAGCACTTGGCTGTGACATGGGCCACGCCTTTGGCCAACCAGATCTAGGAGGCTGTGCCCTGTACCTTTTCCTGCCCCCACTACTGGAGTCTTGATCATTGAGCGTTTGCCTCTCCCTTGAGAGAGCAAGTGAAGCAAATTGGAAGTTGGCATTTCATGGAGGAGAATGGAGAAGGGACAGAGACAAAGATTGATAAAAGGAAATGGGATTGGGGTTTAGCCGTGGGTTCTGCTGGCCCCTCTCATCCCCTTGCTGGGAGCAGAGTTCCACCTGGGAGGCTACAGCCTGGCTCAGAGGCTTCCCAGTCCTCTGTAACTACACCTTGTAAAACTGTGTGTAAATTTGAGTTGAAAGAACATTGCTTTGAAATATACCATCAGTAATACTATTAAATAGTATATCTTAAGCAAAATACACAAGCGATTGCCTTATATGACTTTAAAAACAGCCTTTCGTATGTTTGAATTTATTGCCTTATGTGTGGTCCAGCATTTGGGATAGTCAAAATTGCAGTTTCTATTGAGTTATATTCTATTTATCAGCAAACAGTCACTTCACCTGAAAGTATGTCCTTCAAAAGAAAAAAATAGATACACTTGCACCACCTGTCCATTAGGCATACTGAGAAACAGATGCAACAGGAGATACCGTCCAAGTGACGAGCTGGCCCAGTTTGCCCAGGACCAAGGGCTTCCCAGGGACCCGAGACTGTCAGTGTCAAACCAGGTGAGTCCCAGGCAAACCACAACGGCTGGTGCCTTCTGGGTGCCAGGTGCCAGGTCAGAGGTAGGACGAAGTTGAGTGAGGAACACCATCAGACAGGAAGCCTGCTGGGGACAGTGAGCACCCAGTGTGGCAACCCCCGGATGCTGCAGCATCCCAGCACTTGGCTGTGACATGGGCCACGCCTTTGGCCAACCAGATCTAGGAGGCTGTGCCCTGTACCTTTTCCTGCCCCCACTACTGGAGTCTTGATCATTGAGCGTTTGCCTCTCCCTTGAGAGAGCAAGTGAAGCAAATTGGAAGTTGGCATTTCATGGAGGAGAATGGAGAAGGGACAGAGACAAAGATTGATAAAAGGAAATGGGATTGGGGTTTAGCCGTGGGTTCTGCTGGCCCCTCTCATCCCCTTGCTGGGAGCAGAGTTCCACCTGGGAGGCTACAGCCTGGCTCAGAGGCTTCCCAGTCCTCTGTAACTACACCTTGTAAAACTGTGTGTAAATTTGAGTTGAAAGAACATTGCTTTGAAATATACCATCAGTAATACTATTAAATAGTATATCTTAAGCAAAATACACAAGCGATTGCCTTATATGACTTTAAAAACAGCCTTTCGTATGTTTGAATTTATTGCCTTATGTGTGGTCCAGCATTTGGGATAGTCAAAATTGCAGTTTCTATTGAGTTATATTCTATTTATCAGCAAACAGTCACTTCACCTGAAAGTATGTCCTTCAAAAGAAAAAAATAGATACACTTGCACCACCTGTCCATTAGGCATACTGAGAAACAGATGCAACAGGAGATACCGTCCAAGTGACGAGCTGGCCCAGTTTGCCCAGGACCAAGGGCTTCCCAGGGACCCGAGACTGTCAGTGTCAAACCAGGTGAGTCCCAGGCAAACCACAACGGCTGGTGCCTTCTGGGTGCCAGGTGCCAGGTCAGAGGTAGGACGAAGTGGTGAGTCATATCCTGGTCTTTATAGGCAGGGCCATCCTTCCTGGGCAGAGTTTGTGAAAATGGTCAGTGGGGAGGCAGTTTGGGAAATAGACCTACAGCCTTGGGCTCACTAACATACCTGCAGTCATGGGGCAGCGCTTCCCTACTTGCCTATTCGTGCTGCCAGCACCTTGGATTACCATGGCGTCTGCAGTGTGCCCAGGCAGAGGCAGCACCAGCCCTGGGGGCGAGCCACCTTGCTATTACCTCTCAGTGCAGTGCTGCGGTGAGCCCAGCACAGAGGTTCTGAGGGTTTAGAAGGGCAGCTTCCAGTGCAGAAGACTCCCATCTAACAATTTGCTTACGACATCCACTTTTACAATCATGTTTAGTAGTTGTCTGTATTTATGTATTCAGCCTGTCATGGTGATTTTAGTGTGTCATTTAATAAGGTGTTTTTCAACTTGACACACTGTACTTTCCCAACCTTAATTCATCCTTCCATTCATCTTAAGGTAAAAAATAGATGGGTAACAAATTCCAAAATTGCAAAACCAGGATCAAGCATTAATAAGTCCCTTATTTATATATATATGGTGTTAATATTGTAAGGGACCATTTTAGAGGCTAGGTAGATGTTTTCCTTGCTGAAATTATTGTTCAGGTCAGAAGGAATTGATGACCTTTGATGAAGACACAGGACTTATGTATGTAGTACATCTTTAAATATGCTAAGGATGCGGAAAACAACCTGTATTTGTCTTGGGTCGCTGCCTAAAACACAAGATATGTGCAACAACTCTTTTAAGGTGACTTGATTTTATGAGGAGGTTTTTTCAAAGATTGATGCTTACGATGCATATGATGTGTAATGGTTGAGTAGCAGTGGGCTGGCAGAAGTGAGTTCTAGATCACATGTTGGGCATTCTTGTTTGATTTGCCTGTTTGAGAACAGGCAACGTGCCCAAATGCATTCTTCCTAAGCATTTGGTAGTTTATTTATAAAGTAGGGATTTGACACTTTCCTCTTGTACTTCTGAGAGGAGGCTGTATTATTTGTAGAACTTTGATGTTTTCTGGTAGACCTGAATTCTGACCATATTGTTTGTTGAGCTTCTGATTGATTGATCAGGTTATTTCTAGAAATCTGACCACCAAGACTGAGGAAGAACAGTTACCTCAGGCATCTGTATATCAAAACTAAGTGTTTCTGGTAACATACAGTATGGGAGTGGTCAGAAATACCCATGAATTAAACCAAGTTCAAGTACTGGCGTTGCCACTTACTAATGATATGACCTTGGTTAAGTCACTGAACCCCTCCCAGCCTGCTGACTTCTCTGTAAAAAGCTGATAGTATACAACGTATTTCATAAGGTCATAAATAAAACATGGAGTGCTCAGCACAGACCCTGATGCTAAATAAGTTCCAAGTTCTATTATTTCTCTTCTTTATTACGTGCAATAAGAATCATCGATTAACTAGCGCTGTAATAAAGGGCTATACTTTGAAATTGTTTCTTCTGAATGATTTCCCTATAAGAATTCCCTTGGGTAATTCAGATGTCTGACTTGGGCAAAGTATTTGCTAGCTTGTTCTTCTACCTCTGACTTAAGTACAGTACAAGGGGGTATACCTTCTTTTGATGAACTGATGTTTTCCTATATCATGGCTAGAGTCAGGCTATGAAATACTTTCACAAGTAAATTTCTCCTATAATTAGATCCTTGTTAGAGGGCATATTACTGGTGGGTTTTATTCCATGGTACAGGCCCAAAAATTGCACTGCAGTAAAAACAAGCTTGTTTTTAATGATAGAAGATATCTTTGGATGGTACCCAAGCCAACCTGTCATGGACAGCTTTATGTATGACTGTATGGTGAGATTACCATGGTTCCTTTTTTAAAATAGCATCAAATAGATGGTAGTGCTTACAGTAGGAGGGTTTTGCAGCCACAGCCTAGAAACAAGAGGACAGGTCTTACGGTTTGTCTGTAGTTAATGTGCTTTATCCTGTGTTAGTATGGGCACCACATGGTATGATCCGGGTTGCCCCTTTATTCAACAGATATGATTCCCACACCACCTGGAGATGTCAGAAACTGTCAGCAACCAAATGACGCTTTCAGATGACGGCATTGTCCCTTGAAGACCTCTGTTGAAATCTTTGTTGCCTTGAAAAGATAATGTGAGGGAAGGAGAACACTGACTAATGTATCAAATTGCAGAGAGATTAACTCTTGGTGACCAAGATCCCAAGAGAAGTCAGTCTTAGGACAGAGCAGTTTTGATATAAGGAAAGAGAAAACAAAGGTCAGAGAATTTATGGGATGTGCCCTGATAGGATCCTTAAGTTGGGAGCCCTGAGAAGCCGAAGGAATGATGAGACACCCACTTTACTGAGGAAGTGGGGTGTGCTATGAAAGAGTGCTTCAGGACCTTCCCTGACAACCAGCCTCCTCCTCAGCTGTGCCTGGACTCACCCTGTGTGATACCAGGTGAATAATCCCAAAGGTGTGTGTATTATGTGTGTGCATTTACACTTAAAAGGCGGTGTAGACTAGGGGTTGAGGATACTGACTCTAGGGCTGGACTGCTGTTTGCACCCATCCATCATCCTACCTTGGCTGTTTATCTTATGTAAATTATTAACTCTTCATGCTTCACTCTGCTTATCTGAAAAAAAAGCCTGGCCTTTATGGTCACTGAGAGAATTTAAAGGCTAATGTGTTTGAAGCATTTAGAACAGTGGTTGGTACATGGTAGAAGTATTAGCTGTTATTGTTACTGAAATATGTTAGAGTCATGCCTTCCACATGGAAGGAAAATTCGTGGATTAGGGCTACTAACTGCCTGACCAAGCAAGCCTGATGTCTCTGGCACCTGGCATATGAAAGTTTCTTTCTTGTTTGTGCCACAACCCATGTCAATGAGGTGGCTCTGCTCCATGCAGACATTCAGGAATCTAGGTTCCTTGTACATAACAGTGTTGCCATATTCTAGGACCTCTGAGTTCTTCATGGATTTTCAGCATGCAACTGGCAGGTAAGGGAAGAGAAGGATTTTGCTAAGAGCATGAAGGGGCCAGACCTTGTCCCACATCCCACACCTCCCACATTATATTTGACACATGACCTTGTCTAACTACAGAGGAAACTGGGAAATATAGTTTAGTTGTGTGCCCAGGCAGCAGAGAAGAACATGGATATTGATTCAAACATGGGTAAATCAATAGCATATGGATGATTTTGACTTTGGCTTATGGTTTCCTTATGACACACAGCATTATTTGGTTTAAGTTTAAGAATTAATGGGAAAATCTACCCACCTGTTTGTCATGGAACACTTAAATTCTATAGTTCATGCAGAAAGTCAACTATGTTACCATTTCGGAATAAAATAGTAAGAACTAACATCGATGGAGAATTTAGAGTGGATACCAAGATACCAAACACTTTATATGTCTATTTTTCCTTATTTAATGAAATGAAATTAATCCCCACCACAGCCTTTATGAGGTAGGTACCAGAATTGCCCACATTTGATGTGCAAAGCAACAATTACAGAGAAGCCATTAATCCAAGTGAAAAAATATGTACATCTATGAAGAGATAAAGAATCACAGGATTAATAGAGATTGACAAAATTGCTAGTGTGTCTTTTCCTCTATCCCTTTAATCTATAACCTGACAAAATTTGGTAGATAGTGAACTTGTAGTTATTAACTTAGGAAGTTAATAACTTTCTACTTAGGGAGACCAAATCCAGATACACAGCAGAAGAGACTTTATCCAATATGAGGTGTTCACTCTACCTGATACAGCATCCATTAATTTGTCATGAGCTGGATGGCTTGTCAAGAAAACCTAATACATGTGTGCGTGGAAAAACACACATCAGCTTATGCTTTATCCTTTGGTTTACTTTATTTGCTTAGTTAAACGTGCTGGTTAAACCATGCATGCACTGCATTAGTCTGGAAAAGTTCCATGAGGGTCTGAACCTCTGATATCTGTGCAGATACTCCTTGAAATATCAGTTAGGTTCCTGAATTGTGTTTTATCTGTAGGCAATATTTTAATCAAAGAGGGTAAATAACCTAATGTCACTGGTGTGTGTGCTTTAGTGTTTTGAGCATGACATCACAGAGAAAAAAGATAAAAATACCATTCTGTCCACCCCTATAGGGGACAGTGTAAAGACCAATCTTTGTGTAAGGCACTTATTATTCTTACAAGATTCTACATGATCAGTTAAAATGAGTCAGCTCATTGCCATCTTTATCAATTCCAGAGACTTCAAGTCCCTCTGTGGAGCTAACAAGTTTATAAAAGCCCTGAGAAGTTGAGACTTAAACAGATGTCAGATGGAAACAGCAGATGTGTAATAGCACAAAGGGGTTTGATAGGCCGTGGAATAGCTGAGTAATTAGAATGTCTGTGTGCTGGCATATCTACTTACACACTCTTGGCCAAGCTACAAGATAGTTGGATGTTTGCCCACTTGCTTGTGGCCTCATCTGCCTTTTGTAAAGTGTCAGCTTGGCAGCCAGACGAGGAAAGCACCTACTCCTGAATATTGGGCTCTGTTGCCGTGGGCTTTTTCTTTTACATGGTGCCTTGTTTTGGTTTTACAAAACGAGGAGATAATTGAGGATAACCATCAATCTGTGCGTTACTAACAGGTGAGAGTCCAATGCTTTTCACCTCTAGATTTCAAAGTATTTTCCACTGTGCAAAGTTATAATATTCCTTATCACATTTGTTCTTAAAAGTAATTTTCATTGAGTTGAGAAAGTGACACTTGCTCACCTTACAGGGTGTGTGACCAGAGCCATGGGTCACTGAGGTGACAGCTCAAGTCAGGGGCCAGGCAGAAAACGGAAGTATCCAGGGCCAACTTCTTGGGCTGTTACACTGGTGATTTAGACGGGACTTTGGACTTGGGGCCTCATTCTTGAGGGCCAGGGACTCTTTATAATATGTCAGGAAGCGAGTGCTGGCAATCGCTCCTATCAGCTGATTAAATGATCTCACACACTGCAGGACTCTCATTGTATTTATAGCTGGCATAGTTTGGAAATGACTGCCTATTTTTATTTGGAATAACATAACATGGTTATTCTCATTCCCTGAGCTCTTATTGAGGGTATTTGGGGTTCTGGCCACATTGGCCTGCTGTGTATGGAGTTCATGACCATGGCCATATGCATTATCATTCTTTTCCTGATCCAATCACAGCTCCATTTTAACATTAAAAAAGAAACCACTTCTTAGTTTATCTGTTATTCAAGGACAAATCACTCAGTCACTATTGCCACTTCTCCAATTTGGGCTTTGATTTCTAAACAAGAATAGGTCGTGTGCAGTGGATGAATCATATCTAGGCTAAATCTGTTTGGCTTTAGTTCTTCCCCCCTAAGAAATCTGGAGGGAAAAATCAATTTTCCATCACTTTTTTTTTCCTGTTTGTATTTCACCAGATCCTATTTATTTCCTCTTTCAAGGATCCTGTTTATTTCCATCTGGAAATAGATGGTTTCAGCCTTTATATTTGTGTAGGCAAAATGTAATGGAGATGGTGTTTTTCTTCAGTCAAGGCTGTCTGAGATTCTGCAGACTCTTCGTCAGTATAAGATATTCTTGATACCACCTACTTGTTCAGTGGTTTCTGTCTGCTGCCTGTTTATCTGGGCAACAGCACCACAGGAAGAAAGGAAATTTTAAATGTGGAAATGACTTGTTATGCGTCAGAGGCTGTGAACTTGAAAGTCATTTATTAGTTTTGATCTCTAGTTGGCTTGAAAACAGCCCACTTTTTCTCTCTCTGTCTCCCAGTATTGAATTGTCAGAGGATCACCCACTTAAACTCCATGCTATGATTTAAAAACATGAAACATTATAAATTGTTTATTTCCACAGCACATTGTTCATTTCATAAGCCGTATCTCTCTTCTTTTCTAAAATTTTATTTTTTCATTATTGCTGTTGTTATTCCTGATATTCTGAGAGACATAGTGACATTTAAATGAAATAGTTCAAAGCACCCAGGACCAATAAAATAAGTTAACTAAAGTTATTTTCTTATAATATAGGTATAAAATAGTATGCATTCAGCTCTGAATCTCTGAAGTTCATACTTTGCCCTTTGCAACACATAGAGTCAATGTCAGATGTGTAGTTGGAAGTTTGGTTTCATTTAGTGTTGTAAAATTTCCTAATGGAATATCACCAAGCTCACATAACCTCAAATTAATACAGTATTAGTGGTCTTTAATGGAAGATACATAGGGCACAAGAAAAGGGCAAAAGTGGTTTTCATGTATTTCTTGGATTTGCAGATTTGTAGTCATGAAATTTCTGTTATGTACTGACAGAGTTTTACTATTGTGGTTAGCATTGCTTCTGAATACATACTGTATATCATGAAAAGTGAAAGCCACTCCCTTTTTATTTATAGTAAAAGAGGTTATATAACAGAGTTAAAATAGTATCCGCAGATGGGCCCATTGTAGGGTCATTATGTGATTTTGCTGGTGTGCTATTTCTGAAGTGTGAAATATTCATTCTGTTCCAAGGACTAGGAAACACAGCGTCCCCCAAAGCACGGTCGATGCAGCCCTGTCCAACACAAATGTAACAGGAGTCGCACATGCAATTTAAAATCTTCTCATAGCTGCATTTAAAAGGTAAAAACAAAAGCAGGTGAAAATAATTTTTGTTCTCTATTTTATTTAACCTAATATACTCCAATTTTTCTCATTTCAACATGTAATTAAAATAAAATAATTAATGAACTGTGATTCTCATTTTGTACTAAATCTTTGAAATGTGGTATGTATTTTACACTTACAGCACATCTCACTCCAGACTGGCCACCTTTCAAAAACTCAGTAGCCAGTGTGGCCAGCAGTTGCCACACTGGACAGCCCAGGTCTGGTGTTTTCATGAAGTAAATCTATTATTAATGGTTTGATGGCAGCTTCAAGTCAGAAGAAGAAAGGATCATGTGAAATGTCTGCTCATTGGCAGAAAGTGAAATGTCAGTTCTCAAAAAGGAAAATGTTGACAAGACTTTCTGGAAAATATAACTTTATTTTTGAATTGTTTTAATACAGGTCGAATGCTGCTCGATAGCAGAATGGACTTTATTTTCATGGTAGAAACAAAGAAACAAACAAAATCCCAGATCTAATGTTAGTCATTTCTTAAAGGAAATTAAAATTCAACATCATAGAGCCTTAATGTAAAGGATCCTTTTTTCACTCATTTATCTGGGTCTGCTGTTGCCGTGATTACATGGATGTAATACAGTCGAAGTTAAAGATTCCAGTTATAGTCAAAGTGCTTTCTTTAGTTATTATATTATTTTCAACTGATGGCTGCTCTTATTATATTGGGTTTCCTGCCTCTCACAGCAGCTAACCAAAACCAGTTTGTTTTAACTCAAAACTAGAAGCAGTCAGAGAGCATTATTTGTGGTGAATTTCCTCCCTTGGTGCGTCCTCTGGAGCGCGGGCTGTTTTACTCCATTCCGTTTTCAGAGTGAAAGAGCTGTTACTATAATCCTGTGAGGTGATAACATGCTCTTGGTGGCCAATTAAAAGAGTTCTTGCCAACCAGATGGCCCTCCTTCTGAAGAAGCTCTGACCTTTGAGCTTATTACTGTTGATTGGCGATAGAGGTTTTGTTAGATGATTACCCTCAAGGGATTAGTAATGGAAGCATGTGCTTGGAATGAACTTGGAGTGTCTCTGCAAACCCACGAATCTATCATCCTCTTGATGTTGGCTACCATATGGTCTTTGCACATTTTTGAAGTTTAATAACTTACATTTTTTGTATGGTAGAAATTGACCACGATTCCTCTCCTTAACCAAATTTTTGTTAACCTTCTTGTCTACCAGGCTCCAGCCTTAGCCTTATCAGGCCTGCCTTTAGCAAGAATCCTGCTGTCAGTTTGGAGAGAATTTCTCACCCTCAAGATACCTAATCACCCTTGATAACTTCTCACATTCCCCACCCACCACCCTTGATGTATAAGTTGTTAGCCTGCCATTAGCAAGAATCTCCCTCCCCTTAATGTCTCCTCTTAGTAACTTTTCAGCCGCTGACCCCCTCACTCTGCTCACTGACAATAGAAAGCCCCACTCGTCCTTGGTGTATTCGGAGTTGAGCTTGATTTCTTTCTTACCATTTTGATCGTGTTGACTCCCTATTGCCAAAGTCCTAAATAAAATCTTCCTTACTGCTTTAACAAGCATCAGAATCGTTTTTTCTTTAAGAAAATAATAAATTGCATAAAAAGGCCATGTATTAAAACTTAAGACAATTTTATTTTATAATGATACATAGTAAATTCTTACTTCATCCCTACTGAAAAAAAACACTAGGCAGTCTGTGGTTAGAGTTGAAGTTCATATTTATTCAGATAATTTATCGTTCATTACCATTAGTGGATATTTTATTTCACCTTATAACCAAAGTGTAAAATCTGGCCTAAAACCTTATAAAAAGCTTATTTATAAAATATTGGATTTCTGTGCTCTTAACTGTTTCTATAGGGCTCAGGTGTTCTTAATTGATACCAGTGTTTGGCCCAAAATACATGGGAATGTCTCTGCCAGCAGTGTTCTCTCCTGAATTGCGAAGGTTACAGATAGGTTTAATTTATTTATGTTAACCCATTTGCAAGAGATCAATGAAAAAGTCACATGGGAAAGAGACTCTTTCTATGGCAAAAATAAGTATACTGAAGTGAAGGTGATCAAGAATCACATTGTAACTTCAGAACAGATTTCACTGCAGAGAGAAGTCCGTGTATAAATGCTGGTCCCCACTGGGAGGGCTTTTTCATTAGCAAGTCCACATCCCTGTTCCAGGCTTTCCTGATGGCATTCCATCCAGGTAGCCCATGGAAGATATGGAGGCAGAAGTTTGTGTATCTATCCATTTCCTGCCAGAATGTCATTCCTCCATGTTTAATTACAAGTTATGCAAAAGAAAAAGGAAGACAGCAGAGTAATAGGTAGTTTCATTTCATTTTTCTGAAGATAAGTGTGGAAACTCCCCAAAGAGTTACTTTTCAGGAGTAGATTATCTCTTCCAGGGCACCGGCCTGCAGTTCCCCCTGTGACAGACAAGCTCATGACAGCAGCCTGACCATTAATGCCCTAGTCAGAGTTGAGCCTCAGAGTGAAACCGCTTTCAGTCTCTTTGTTAAAACCTCAGTAAACTTCTGTTTGTGTTTAGAATAATGCATTTCATGATTTTTTTTAAACTTGGCTTTTTTCAAAAGTAGCTCTTTAGAAGCAGTGAAATGTAAGTTCTTTGGGAAGGCTTCCCTAAATGTCCACTGTGTGCATGTTTCAAAAAGTCATAGACTGGACCCATAGCACTTCAGTGAAGCTTTTACTTCTTTGTGAAAGGAGACAGGGCAGAATTCCTACTTTCCCACTTGAAAAGAGGCAACTGTGAGCCTTGGAGGGCTGGGGAGTGGGTTGCCTGGTGGCAGATGGAAGCCACTTGTTTAGAGGCAAGTACCCACATGAATATGATCCTTTTCTGCTTCTGCCTTATTAAAGAAAAAAAAAAAAAGAAGAGCTGAAACAGCCCCGGGAGGAGTAGGTTGTCATGGTCAGAGAGGCCAACTTTCTCCCCCTGATGGTTCTCCTCCAGAACAGCAGTGACCTAAAACATGGAGTGTGGACAAAACCTGGGCTTCCGTGTGGAATAAAGTAGGTGAGAGAGAAAAGCTAAAGGTTTCATCAGGGTACATGATGAATCATTACAGTTATGGGGAGATTAATTGGATAGGTTAACAAAATGTGCCTAGCTATTGGTTTCTTTAAATCTTGCCCTTTTTGCATCTACTTATTTTAAAAAATTTTAAATTTTCCTGCTTTTATTTCAACAAACTTTATTTTTTACAGTGGAAGTGTGGACGTCACTTTGATCCAGGTAGAGCCCACCTTATGCCGAATGCTGGTGTTACAGATGTGCAGCCATGTCTGAGATGTGGTTGCCACCTGGAAACGATTCTCTAGACAAAACACCCTAAGGAAATTAGCAGCTTTTGTATTCCTCGAACCTGTGAACCTAAACACAGAGAGTGAAGGCAGGTGTCACACTTCCTAAAGCCAAGTCTGTCCCCTTGACTGTTTTTACGTGGGATAATTACAGTGGGAAGGTAGAGGAGCAAGAAGAAGGCTGGTTGGTTATTCCATCCGGTGGTAGTTTGGAAATATCTATGCTCTTTCTTAGGTTCATGTGGCTCTTTGTTTTTTCGTTCATTCCCATTTTCCTCTTGTTTCCGTCCTTGAGTTTCACCCACTTCCCTTGTGTTGAACAGTTTGCATCATTTCTTCCTGCTTCTTAGCATCACACACAGAATTTTACACCATCCATCATGCAGCATCATGCAGGCAGACAGCCTTCGACACATGCATTCCAGGCTGCCGGAATGCACAGCCAAACAGAATCCTTAAGCTTTGATTCATCATTTCTACCCGACGGTGTCCAATCCTAGATTCTTACATAATGCATCCTTTCCATCTGCCTATTTGGCAAAAACAACAGAAAAATGAGAGCCCATGTCTGAAGGAATTGAAGGATTTTATCCAGTGAAATATTCAAATGTAGGAAATACCATGCCATAGAATCATCAAAGCAGAGTTTATGTGGTTTCTAAACTAAAAAAAGAAAAAAAAATGTATCCAACAGAAATGCAAGGTCCATAGAAAGATAAAAGCACGTGTTCCTGGCGTGTGGCCCATTCTTGTTTTACATCCCAAACGAGTGTTTTTCTTTTCCCTGTGGGAGAGTTTGTTTTGCCATCACATTGAATATTGGCCAAAGCTAGTGGCTGGTAGTGTTGTCTGCCCTGCCTCTTGGTTGGGTGAATTTTTGAGAAGCTTTTCTTGGTGCCAGACCAGCCTGCTACAGAGGCGCCACTGAGGAATAGCCAGGTGTACTTGACATTCATGTTCCAAGAAAGACGTTGGTACCTCATGAAAATATTGACACATGCATAAAAACCTTTTGTGAGAGGGTAGACCTAGAGAAACGAGTCATCGCCTAGTCTCCCACACCCCTGGTGAGATGGTTGTGACTTGTTCTCACTTCTCAGTGGGACAGGTTCACATCTGAGCCATTCCCTCCCTGTCGTGCTGGGTCCTGTTCCTTTCTCATGCTGCAAATCCCTCTCTGGATTGCAGTCAGATGGTTGGGAGGGAAAGCATTGTGAGAAAAAAAATCACCAGAGCAGCTATTCCAGGTTTAGAAGAAATAAACTTAGACCCATTTAAAGTAACTCCTTTCTTTTTTTTTTTTACATAGAAGGAAACTGAGGCCCAAAGAGGAGATTTGTCCAAGGTAACGTGCTCGAGTAGGAAAGACCAAGAAGTTAGAATGTCCTCTCCTCAGATCACCACCTCCTTTTTAACAGTTTTAGGTCAACCAAGTAAAATGTTTTTAGGTTGGGAAAAGAAAGATACTCGGCATCGTATGCTCTCCACGTTAGTGTAACAACCTGGGGACATTTTGTAAGTCAGGACTACTTTTTTGCCAGCTTATCTTTAGTGCTTTGTGAAACTGGTTTGCCAAAAATACCTTTAGCTGGAAACTAGCTTTGGGGAGTCAAATGAATGCATATGTGAACAGAACAATGTTGGGACCAGAACTTAGAATTGGCCATTTGCAACAAAAACCCATCCACTTTGGACCGCGACTAGCTTCCTGGCTGGAGCCCTTGATCTTTACCTTAAGAGTCTGAGCAAATTGGTATTTTGAGTCATTCAACTCAAGCAGGCAACACTCTGAATACTTTCCATCTTTTAGCACTGTGTCTGTGTGGTGCCTGTGTTCTTTGACACTCTGGCCATGGTTTCTGTCTGCCTTTTGGCCCCTGTCTCTGTATATACATTTGGTGTTCCTCTTTCTGTTTGTCTGGAATGGCCAGACTGTGGTCATTATCTTATAAAGAATACTCCTTGATAGGGGCTAATAATACTTTGGCATCTGTAAGAATGAGTCAGGCACAGGAAACCAAGAATTGGAACTTCTCTAGGAAAATGTGGAACCCTGGAAATCATATGGACTGGGAGTCATATGGAAAATCAAAGTCTTTCCTGTTTTTATAATGATCCATGGGAGGAAAGGAAGGACATAGTGAAATAGGTAAGACTACAAATGGCAAGAATGACCATCAGTGAGACATTTCAAGGCTGTGGCAGTGTTCTTATTATACATCTGCATGTGCACATATACATACATGCATACAGATGAGCTTCAGTCTGGGCACCTATGAACTAGTGACTCTGGGGGGGTTGGGGGACCCCTTTGATTACATCCCAATGGACATCAATTTCTGAATCTGCTTATGCAGGGCTACCCAGGAGATTTGTAATCTCTCTTGAACACAGCAGCCTAGAGGTCCTGCTACAGCTCAGCCTTAATATCATTAAGTGGAGGATCTTGTCTAGGAAGCAACAGACCTAGATGATTGAGCATAGTTCATGTAGAATTATAGAATTTCCAGAAAGAGCCAAGTGAAATGTTCAAAAGGATAGCATCGAGGAGCTGGAGTGTAGGAGCATGCCTCAAACCTGAGGATTCTTCAGACCGGAGTGGCAAAAAGCTCTGTTAGATACCCCAACTCTGTTTTTAAGTATGAGTAGAGCAAAAATGGCCTTGTTTAGTAAACACTGGCATTCTGGTCTTAGAGCTCCCCTACCCACCTAGTGAAATTTGAAGGAACTTAAATTTTATTTAGGGAGGAAGAGAAAGAACAAGAGTGGGTGACTATTAATGAACTTAATGACCCAGGAGATGTAGGTTGAAAATACAAGCTGTTCAGATAAATTCTTAGATGGGTAGGTCTGAGGTGTAGCCTTGAGTCTGAGTCAAGGAATGCCATTAAAATGCACCCTGACGTGGGAAACAGACCACTAAGCTTTAAAAAAGGATCTGACTTAATCCATCCACTTGGGGGTCCATTCCTTTACATTTTTAGTTACCTGATCTTTGCCAGAAGCTGGGCCCAGAACACTAACTGCCCACTCATACACACACACACATGCAGTCTTGTGCCCTCATGTCATATATGATCTAGGCAAGCAGGCAAGCATGTAAGTAACTAACTTTACAAAGCTACAGAGGAATGAAATAAATATCATGCAGGGACTAACAATTGGCTGTGGAAACAACACTGAAAACGGTTGACTGTGCTGTGAGAAATGGGAGTGGCATCTCAAG